ATTAATAATATTATATTATATTTACAACTAACTCTGTTGATGAATCAAACAAATATGTATGGATCACTCAAGAATTCTATTCTATTTCATTTTAACAAACAGTGTGACTTCTCTTTAATTTTTTAATTCTTTTTTTATCATCTTGTTTTTAGCCATTTAGATTTTTAGAATATATCTCTAATTTGTTGTTACGTTTGTTGAACATATGATAAATTTTTAAATTTGTTTCTTTACGTATTTCATTTTATTCTTACATCTTTGTGAAGAATTTCAATCATGGGATAACTGTTAATTGTTTTTAATCCTTGGTTTTGAAATCTTTGTATAATGTTAAAAAAAATTTTCTTTTTCCTCAAATTTGGATACCATATATCTATGTAATAAGATAATCACAAGTTTATATATTTTTTTAAATTTATTTTAGTAATGAGAGAGGAAATTTGTCCAATATAATTTTCTTATTTTCGTATCTAATTATTTTTTCTTTTTTTTTTTTTTTGATGTGATCTTTCCATATGAGAATCCCTTTGTCGAGATATACTACCATTATTATTTTTTTGTCTCATCGTTTATCTTAATTTTCGAATCTGCAATATATTTGTAAAAATAATGTGATTAGATTTGTTTGCATTAATTTTGATCTTTCACTTTTTTAGCCCATTCAACTGTTCTATCCAGATATTCCTGTAGGAATTTTGACACTTTTAAGAGACAGCAATAAATAAAGTCATTTTCGACTTTAAATATACGGATCTTACATGTATACTATCTTCACAAAGTCACACAGAGACTTACGATCCGTTATCATTGGTATGAAATATTTATTACAAACGATTACAATTTAATAATCCTTATTTTTTATTGTAAATTTATATTTGCTTGAATTTATTATAATTAATAATTTTATATATACACTTTTATAAATTTGTATTTTAAAATTTTTTTATTGATGAATTATTTATTTCATATGATATATATACATATATTTTTTTTAAAAAACTTACATAAAAAGAATTGTCAATTGCATAAACGTTGTTTCATGTAATAATTGTCACTCTAATTTTTTTTTTTTAATTTTAAGATGTTAAAATTTTGACGTTTCAATTTCACACGTTTCATATACGAAATCTTATTAAATCTATATCTCGTTTAGATTCAAATGTATCGAAAAATGAATTAAAGAAAAGGTTAATCTTTTCACGTCGCATGATAGATGACTAGCGCCATCAAGTAGCTAGCTTTGAAACATGACGATATATCGAAATAATTAATTCAAAACTGCGAATTGGATGATATTGAAATAACTGTTGAAGCAGTGTTTATTTTTCACTGTCGTGAACTTGTTTGCTTTTTAATTCCCTTTATATTAAACAATAAAGTATAAAATGATGCAAGCTTGTTTTTGGAGTTTGATGAGTATTTCTGGGAAAGTAAGTTTAAAAGAAAAATTATTTATTATCCAATGATCTCGATCATTACAATCAGATATCGATCAATCTATCGAAGGATAAATGATTTTCTTGTATATTTCGTTCGATTATTGATTTGACTAGCACAACTAAAATTTGTTAAATTCATTATTCATAAAAGTAAAAGTACATTTGGTTATATCTGATTTTTTCAAAGTTTAAAAATTGTAGAAAAATAGAAACAAATATTTTTTTAAATAACACTTTTTTTCTTTCTCTGTTTTTTATCAGCCATCACGAGACAAACGTATTGTACCTGGCTTGATAGCTATACAATTAAATAGATACACTACTTTAGAAGCTGATCTTGTAGTAATAGGTGGTGGGCCTGGTGGTTATGTGGCATCGATAAAAGCATCACAATTGGGAATGAAAACAATTTGCATAGAAGAAAGAGATACATTAGGCGGAACTTGTCTCAATACCGGATGCATTCCATCAAAATTTTTGTTACACAATTCAAACTATTATAACACGGCGTTCAATAAAAATTTTCAAAATAGTGGAATTACAGGTATAATTCTTTTCTTTTTTTTTTTTTTTTTTTTTTTTT